AGATGATGATGTGCTTGTCGTTGGAGCCCGACAGGGCCTCGCCGGCGGCGGTGATGCCGACGGCGCCCACAAAGTGCGTGTGGCCGCTGAGCGTGTGCGTGCACGTGGCAGAGGCTCCGTCAGCCGACTCGCTGTCGACTTTCCACACACGCACCGTCGCGTCGCGCGAGCCGGTGATGACCTGGCTGTCGGCGAACGGTCCCACGGATCGCACGTCCTGCTCGTGGCCGGTGAGGATGGCGGAGAGCTGGAAGGGCTCGGTCGGCATCGGGTCTGCGGCTGACATGGAGCGCCCAGACGAATGATCGAGTATGAGGCGTGCCGGATCCGGTGAATTCTTTTTGTCAGGAAGACGGAACACGGAGGAGTGTATAGGTCACTAGAGACCCACACCATCGCTACATCACCACAGCCACCAAGTCGATGACAATGTGCGCGGCAGGACAAACCAAACATGAACATGAGACGGTTACACAAGGACGGTCAGGCTACGGTCAGCGTCAGGATCCTCAGGAAGTAGGTTTGAGTTCACACTCTCCAACACTCCCCCATTGTCTCCGCAGTCTTCATGAATGAGGATGCGGCAGACAACAACAGCAGAGTGTGAATGTGTCTGAGCGTAGGTATGCCGGTTACCCGCCCGGCGTCTCGCGGGGCTGGCTAAGCGTCCAACCTTGCGTCTTCGCGAAGGATAGTCTTGCTTGTTGGCAAGACTTGCGCGCTAAGATGATCCAGTGAAGGGGTCAAAGCGCGGCCGAGTGGGCGGAGAGAGAGAAAGGGGAGATAATGAACAGGAGCTCGTTGTGGAGCTCGGTCATGGCGCGCCGCGAGCTGCAATCCGGGCTGAGCGTCGCGGGGCGGCGGCTTGAGCGGGCGCGGCAGGCGCGGCGGGCGCGGGAGCGGCAGCGGGGGCGCCCCCTTGCGGCGCGGCGTTTGGGCCGTTGGGAGGCCTCGCCGCGTTGACGCGGATGTGAGCGCATCAGGGACGTGAGGACGATCTTCAATGCCCCGAACGTTGATGTTGCGCCACGGGCCGCCGACGTCGGAGATGGCAGGCTCAGTCTCAGACGTCCAGACGGCAGAGACGCTCGTAGAGGCGCATTGGACTTCTTGCCAGAGGCGTTGGACAGCGGGACGGGCTAGCGCGAGGAGGCGAGACGAGGAAGAGACAGCAATGAGGTAGAGTGGCATTGCCACGTCGAACAGGTGCCCAACACTCCCCCACGACGTGGTAATCGCCACACAAGGCAGAGAGGGCGTGTCGATCGTCGCGTGTTCATCGC